CATGTAGCCCCCTCCCTCCATCTACAAAAGCTCTTGCCCACTGATTGTCAGTGCGGGGGGGCCAGTCGGCCTTAGGACAGGATTCTGCCCTCCCCCCCATTGCCAGCATCTGAAATGAAGCAAGCTTTCCTTTCCACCAACCTTGCCTCTTTTTTTTTTTTTTTCCGTACGCGGGCCTCTCACAGCTGTGGCCTCTCCAGTTGTGGAGCACAGGCTCTGGACGCGCAGGCTCAGCAGCCATGGCTCACGGGCCCAGCCTCTCCGTGGCATGTGGGATCTTCCCGGACCGGGGCATGAACCCGTGTCCCCTGCATCAGCAGGCAGACTCTCAACCACTGCACCACCAGGGAAGCCCCAACCTTGCCTCTTTATTGACTTTTGAGTGGCGAGCAGCCGGACCCCACTTTCAGTTACAAAATGAAAATGAAATTTTAGGCTCAGTCTGTCTCACACTGGGCCCAATGAATCCACAGAAGTGTGTCTGTTTCACGCTTCTCAATATGTCTTTGGAAGAGACATACACATCCCTTGCACAATCCCCACAATGGTTCCTCAACGCATGGAATGGGGGCCAAACTGAAATTCCTAAAACTACCTCTTGTACAAAAAATAGTAAAACAAGAGAATATCACAGCTGTTTTGGTTCTGGTACCAATTCCAGTATGTGGAGAGGAGTGAGGGTCCCCATACCAACAAAAGGCAAATTTCCCACAGCAGCAGCGTATCTAAAAATCCTATTCAATTCTGACACTTTCCACCCAGAGAGAGCATCAGATTCCACAGGTTAATGGTTCAGTCCTACGAGACTGTGTCCCACCCCCTCCAACACACACACACACTTCAGGTGCCAGTCTCAAGTCCAGGTTGTTACTTGTACTTCTGACCAGTTGGCTATAAATCACACGTTCCCACTACCCACTCCCCCCTCGAGTTTGACTAATTTGCTAGAGCGGCTCACAGAACCCAGAGAAATGTTTTACTTACTAGGTCATCAGTTTATTGTAAAAGGATATAACTCCGGAACAGCCAGATGGAAGAGCTGCGCAGGGCAAGGCACTGGAGGATGGAGCACACAGCTTCCATGCCCTCTCCAGGCACGCCAATCGCCCTGCACCTCCACACGCTCAGCAACCCGGACGCTCCACAAACCATCCGGGGTTTTATGGAGGCTTCATTACACAGGTGGGATTGATTAACTCATGGCCACTGTCGATTGAGTCAACCTGTGGCCCCTCGCCCCTCACTGGAGATTAGGAGGTGGGACTGAAAGTTCCAGCCTTTTAATCACATGTTTGGCTCTCCAGGCAGCCAGCCCCATCCTTAGGTGGGACCCAAAAGTCACCTCATTAACATAATGAAAGACACCGTTCTTCTCTCATCACTTAGGAAAATCCAAGCGTTTTAGGAGTCTACGCCACGAATGGTGTCAAAGAACAAATACATATTTCTTACTATAAATCACACTATCACAATATCCCTGGGAATTGCTGAGTTTAGGGTCATCATCAACATGAAAGTTGTAGTGGTGGTGATCTTAACACTTCACCATTGGCCTCACTTGTTTGGCTGGTCTATGCACAGGGGGTGGACACAGATAATGGTTGGATTTTCATAACCTGAGTCAGAGGGTGACTCCAATTACATACTCCTTTGTATGTGCTGTCTGCTAGAGCAAATCAATACATGTCCTGCCACCGGCTATGCAGCTAATGACTTGACAAATGCTTTTCTCTCTTTACCAATTAGTAAGGACAATTAGAAACGTTTCACTTTCAGCTGGCAAGAACCCCTTCACTGTTAGACCTCAAGGCAATTCTCCCACTCCATGATAGACAGGAGCCATGATCATCTAGACATCCTACAGGACACCATGCTGATAATCAAATATTGATCACATTATGCTAGATAACTTAGTCTGAATGATTCTGGTGGGGAAAAATATTGACGTTTTGAGTGCTTGACAATTCAGCAGGGTTTCTAAATGTCTAGTAGTCTGAATCTGATTGGGATATTCTTCTCATGCAAAAGACAAATTTCACCACTTAAGATGACCTAAAGCACAGGAAGAAGCACAGAGCTTTTGGGATCCCTTTGCATCTTAGAGAAAACATATTACACACATATTACCACATACTGTGTTGCTACAACCCATTTATGAAGTAGCACGCACCAAGGTACTCTGACATTCAGTCCAGATGACCCAGTTCATCTATGCAATGGTGACTGAAGTACTGGTGGCAAATAAAGATGCTCTGCAGAGACTCCAGAAAGCCCCATAAGAAGAATCACAGTATAGACACCAAGGGTTTTAGAGTAAAGTCATTTATTTTTTTACTGAACACTATTTTTGTTTGTTTGGTTGGTTGGTCCATCTGTCATTCAGTAGGTCAGTCAGCTGGTTGGTTTACACCTTGCCTCTGGCAGAACCTGCACACTTGACCATAAACCAGCAAATGATTCTGCAACCTGAGATGCTCATGAGGAAATAAGTACTATCTGACCTGCCAGGCTATAAGATCGGGCTTGTATAGAAGCAATATAACATCAAGTGGACGTGATCGACTGGAAATCAGGCTCAAGCAGGTGGGAAAAGGACAAGTAAGATGCATGGAAATTAGCCCAGACTCACTAAGCACCTATTCTTGCTACATTGCCCCACCTACTTAAATCAAAATTTATGACCTCATGGGGAAAGATAAGTTGATGAAGGATAAATAAAATTCAGGTTATAAAAGGAAAATCAAAATAATATTGCTAAGAGAGCTTTCTAAAATGGAGCTGGGAGTCCACTGAGGAAGTGTGACTTATGTACATCTGGACCTGGATGGAATCTGACCTTTGACCACTTACTGTCTTAATGCAGGCACTCAGAACACCTGCCCAATGATACTTATCGGATACTTACCACAAATAACTCGTGACAGCCTATCTACTTATTGAACCCTTACCCTAAAATAGCCCTTAAGAATACTTAAGAATAAATATTTCCTTTCTTGTATCAGAGTCAATCATAATTCTTGCCAGACAACTTTAACAACACTGTAGCTTTTATCTTTATAAGCCCCTGACTCTTTCCTCTGCTCCAACACCCTTTTAGTTTCACCCAAATCTCTCTCCTGAATTGCAATTCCTAATAGCCCAAATAAACTCTTACTTGCAGCCTTCTGCACTGCTTGGATGACAAAGTCTACTTTACGACAGGAAAGGATAGATAAAATTCAGGTCTACTTTATGGATAGGTCTGCACAATATATAGGCATCAAGAGGAAATATACTGCCACAGAAATTAAGTTCCATTCAGGAATGGCAATAAAAAATGTGTAAAAGTGAAATGCTTAAGCTGGCTCAAGTGCAGGACCTCTGGTTGTTCACCTTACGTGGCAAGAGATTGGCCAGTGATGAGCCTACCCTGATTCATGGGAAATGGTTAATGGCGGCTGACCAGTCAAGGGCATAGAAATAATGAATTTGCAAGATTGGTGACATGGAGGTCTATTCAATGGCCAGGATAGATACTTATAAAACTTTCCACTCAGATAAGCCCCTCATTGCTCCTGAGCCATTCTGTAACATTTCACCTGCATGGTCTTAGTTTTGCAAGGGAATAAACCATGTTAAGTACCGGGTTTTGTTTTGCTTTTCCAGCAACTAGGTTGTTTTGGTGGTGAAACTGACATGATCTTTAGGAACGTAATATCTTCCTTAGCTGGGTTTTATTATAAGAACCACCATAGCCAAGGCATACTGATTTCTCAAATGCAAGAAATAACTACTGATCACTATAGATGTTTAAATTGAAAAAAACATAAAAACACAGCTATTTTACTTGCAAACAATGTGCTAATTGTTTTCAGCTGTAGCACATAGCCAGTAATAGCTCAGTTCTTTACCCTGTGCTAATAACCCAACTGAGGAGAGAATGGGGCAATTAAGAGCACTCTCTTAAAAGGAAACAGATTTTACATTATAGAGAGTAAAGTATGTAAAATACTGAATTCTCCATAAGGTATTTTTAGAAATAATTATTTGAATTAATAAACACAGAATTCTGAATTTTAGGTCAATTCAAAAATACCTACTGAGAATCTAGTATTTGCCATTGTACTGGTCAACTGAATACCAAAATAAATAAATAATAGTTTCCTCCAGTATTAAAAAGTTTTTAGTTTAATCACCAATTCTCAAGCAACCGGACACTAATGAAGGCTTTAACAATTAATTTAATAATTAATCATGGGCACAGTGGTAGAAATGTGAGTTAATGCTTATCATTTTGAATCGAAAGATTGTAATTTTCAGCATTCCAGGTAAAAGGTATGGACACTTTACATTTTTTAACAGGTACTTAACATTCAGTAATACTTATCACATCATTTACATGAATACTCTCTCTGTGTTGCATTCTGTCCAATATAGTAGCTATTAGCTACATGTAAAATTTTGACTAAAACTAATTAAAATTATGTAACGTTAAAAATTCAATCCTCAGTCACACTAGCTACATTTAAAGAATTTTTATTTTATTGTGGTAAGAACACTTACCATGAGATCTACCCTCTTAATAAATTCTGAAGTGTACAATGCAATATTGTTGACTACAGGGAAGGGGAAATGGGGAGTTACTCTTCAAGGGGCACAGTTTCAGTTAAGCAAGATGACTGAGTGTTACAGATTGCTGTACAACATTGAACACTAGCCACATTTGAAGTGCACAATGATCATATGTATGTAAGGCCTGCCATATTGTGTCATAAAAAATGTTCCCTTATCACAGAAAGGTTTTTTGGTCTCCTGAGTTGAACTTATCTTCCTAATTAACAGAATAGGAGGAAGCACTGAATTTTAAAGGTAATTAATGTTGATCTTTTGTTTCTTCAATAGTGTATTTTGTTCTACTTAATTCTTAATTCAACCCCTGCAGAATAGAATACATTCTATTCTGTTGTAAAATTAATAGCTTACTTTCTTTTCTCTTTCTGGTTGTAAAACAAATGTCTTACTTTCTTCTGTTGGCAAGTGTCTCTTCCCCATTTCTTATAAAGATCTTCATTCCATGCTTCTCTTTGCTCCCATCAAAAGAACAACGGGGGCTTTGTGTGGGTGTTCTGATTGGACGGCCACAAATCTTATTTACCTTTTAAATAGAAAATATTAAAGACAGTTAGAAAGCATGCTCCAGCCTTTCTGAGAATGTAATGTTCACTAGAGTCCAAAACAATAACATATTCTTATTTATAGCACACTAATAACCTTTAAGACATACAATGTTTGTTAATTTTTAAAATAAAGGGAATAAAATTATCTGTATAAAATGGCAGCCATAATAAATTGATGCTATACACATTTATACAGTTTGCATGTATGCAAGTGCAAAATACACGAATAAAAACATATATGCAAAATCAGAGAACTACAATAAACTAGCCTGCTTGTATAAATAAAACTAATCAAAGTAGATATTATTTATGGTTTATAACCATATGTATGACTAATTACTTACTTGTACTAATTTTTTTTAATAAAACAATTTGCTATTGAATATGTGGTCCATTTCTATATGAGTTCTAAGGGTAGTTTTCTTCTTAAAATGCTTTCTTAGAAATGGCAATAAATATTTTTATATAAGATCTCATTTTGTAATAGTTGTATATCTTTTTCCTCAATCTGGTTTGATTTCAAGGGTGTTATTTATGGTCTCTTTTTTAAAAATTATTTATAGAATTGAAAATTTTATTTTTTAATACTACTTATCTAGTAAAGATCTTCATATGTAATTATCATTGAAAATTAAGGAATTAATTGGACACATTACCATGTAAAGCATCAAAAAAGATTCACAAGATAACTTATACATTTAAAAAGGCATAGTCATATAATTAAAAATACATAAAAGCATTGCCTGAGAATCAGGAGACTTTGGTTCCTGTCCTAATTTTTCCTTCTTAATTGCTGAGATCTTGAAAACAGTGGCAGAACTTTTTAAAACTTGATTCTCTTATATGTAAAATGAAGAACTTAGAAAAAATTATTCCAAAGTTCCCTTAAAGTTCTAAAGTTTTTTAAATTTTCCATGAATGAGCATTACAGGAATTATGCATCAACTCATTTATTTAAACCATAATTATTTTGTTCCAATATTTGCAAAGAACATGTATTAGATGCTATAGGACATAAAAGATTAGAAACTGAATTTACCCCAAAAGAGCTGACAATTTAGAAGGAAAGAAAAAACAATCCCCCCAAACATCAAAATGCACATGCACCTTAAGAAAAGGCCTGGCCCACACCAGGCTCCAGCCCACCCTGCCAATGTCACAGCCCCAGAGAACGCTGGGAAAGGCCCTGGCCCATGCTCACTTCGGCTCCAGTCCTCCTGCCAAAGCCACTGGGCACACACAGTCAGCATAGGGATACTCCCAGACAAGGACATACCTTCAAGAGCAGGAGAGGTAATTGCTTCATCTAATTTATAGAGACAAACAACAGAAAGCAAACTTTAATGAAATGGAGATAAGTAATTTACTTGATAGAATGTCTGAAGTACCAGTCCTAAAAAAGCTCACTGAACTCAGGAGAAGTGTATAGGAACACAGTGAGAATTTTAACAAAGAATTTGAAAATGTAAAACAAATCTTATATATATAAAATATATATATTTATATATATGAACCTCATGGTAACCAAAAACCAAAAACCTACAATAGATACACAAAAAAACAAAGGAACCCAAAAGTAATACTAAAGAAAATCATCAAACCACAAGGGCAGAGACTAAAAGAAGAAAAGAACAGAGAAGAACTACAAATACCTCCAGAAAAGAATGAACAAAATGGCAATAAGTACATACCTATAATAATCACTTTAAATATAAATGGACTAAATGCCCTAATCAAAAGACATAAGGTGGTTAAATGAATAAAAATAACAAGACCCATCCATATACTACTTACAAGATATTCACTTCAATGCTGAAGACACACACGGACTGAAAGTGAGAGGATGGAAAAAGGTATTCCATGCAAACGGAAACAAAAAGAAAGCTTTGGTAGCAATACCCATATTAGACAAAACAGACTTGAAAACAAAGTCTAGAGCAAAAGACAAAATAGGACATTACATAATGATGAAAGAGTCAATCCAAGAAGAATTCTTAAACATGTATGAACCTAACATAGGCATACCTATATACATAAAGAAAATATTAATAAACATAAAGGGAGAAAATGACAGTGATACAAAAGTAGGGGACTTTAATACCCTACCTGCAGCAATGGACATATAATCTGGACAGAAAATCAGTACAGAAACATTGCCCTTAAATGACACATTAGACTCGATGGACTTAACAGATATCTACAGGACATTCCGTCCCAAAACAGCAGAATACATATTCTTTTCGAGTGCATATGGAACATTCCCCAGGATAGATCACATACTAGGCCACAAAACAAGTCTCAATTAATTGAAGAAGACTGAAATCATATCAAGCATCTTTTCTGACCACAAAGATATGAAACTAGATATCAGTTACAGCGAGAAAACTGGAGAAAACACCAACACATGGAGAGTAAACAACATGCTACTATAAAACCAATGTGTCAATGAAGAAATCAAAAAATACCTTGATACTAATTAAAATAAAGACACAACTTTCCAAAATCCATGGGATGTGGCAAAAGCAGTCCTAAGAGGGATTTATAATGATACAAGCCTATCTCAGGAAACAAGAAAAATGTCAAAGGAGCAATCTAACTTGACACCTAAAAGCACTAGTGAAAGAAGAACAAACAAAGACCAAAGATAGTAGAAGGAAGGAAATAGTAAAGATCAGAGTAGAAATAAATGAAATAGAGAACAAAAAAAAAGAGGAAGAAAAGATCAATGAAGCTAAGAGCTGTTTTTTTGAAAATATAAATGAAATTAATAAACACTTAGCTGAAAAAAATAAAAAAAAAAAAAAAAAAAGGAGAGCGCGCCCAAATAAATAAAATTAGAAATGAAGAAGTTACAACTGACATCCCAGGAATACATACAATCATAAGAGAATACTACAAACAATTATAAGCCAAAATTTGGACAATGTAGAAGAAATGGATAAATTCCTAGATACATACAGTCTTCCAAGACTGAATCTGGAAGAAACAGAAAATCTGTACAGACCCAATAATAGTAATTAAATTAAATCAGCAATCAAAAAACTTCCAGCAAACAAAAGTCCAGAACCAGATAGCTTCATAGGGGAATTCTACTAAGCATTTAAAGAAGAGTTAATACCTATTCTTCTCAAATTATTCTGAAAAACTAAAGAGGAAGGAATACATCCAAACTCATTCTATAAGGTCAGCATTACCCTGATACCAAGACCGGCCAGAGATAATACAAAAAAAGAAAATTACAGGCTAATATCCCTGATAAACATGGGGGCAAAAATCCTCAAAAAATATTAACAAACTGAATTCAACAATATAAAAGGATCATAGATCATGATCGAGTGGGATTTATTGCAGGATGCAAGGATGGTTCAATATCCACAAATCAATTAATGTGATACACCATATTAACAAAAGGAAGGATAAAAAATCACATGATCACCTCAACAGATACAGAAAAAGCATTTGACAAAATTCAACATCCATTCATTATAAAAACAGTCAACAAAGTTGGTATACAGGGAACAAGCTTCAAAATAATAAAGGCCATTTATGAGAAACACACAGCTAACATCATACTCAACAGTGAAAAGCTAAAATCTTTTCCTCTAAGATCAGCAACAAGACCAGGATTCTCACTCTTCTCACTTTTATTTAACAAAATATTGGAAGTCCTAGTGACAGCAATCAGACAACAAAAAGAAATAAAAGGCATTCAAATTGGAAGAGAAGAAGTAAAACTATCACTATTTGCAGGTGACATGATAATATATATAGCAAACCCTAAAGACTCCAACAGAAAACTACCAGAACTAATAAATGAATTCAGTAAAGTCACAGGATATAAAATAAATATACAGAAATTTGTTGTATTCCTATACACTTATAATGAACTATCATAAAGAGAAATCAGTAAAAAAAATTCCACTTACAATGGCATTAAAAAGAATAAAATACCCAGGAAAAAATTTAACCAAAAAGGTGAACCACCTGTACTCTGAAAACTATAAGACATTGATGAAAGAAATTGAAGACAACACAAATAAATGGAAAGATATTGTGTGTTCATGGATTAGAAGAATCAAGATTATTAAATACACAAATATTTACAATTGCTAAGACATGGAAGCAACCTAAATAAGTGTCCATCAACTGATGAATGGCTAAATAAGATATGGTAAATAGAATTGACCCTTGAACAATGTGGGAGTTAGGGGCACCAACCCCATACAGTCAAAAATCCACATATAACTTTATAGTCCACTCTGTGTATCCACAGATCCACATCCATGAATTCAGCCAACTGCAGACAGTGTGGTACTGTAGTACATATTTATCAAAGAAAAAAATCCACATATAAGTGTACCTGTTCAAGCCCACATTGTTCAAGGATCAACTGTATATACAATGGAATATTATACAGCCATTAAAAAAAGAATGAAATCTTGCCACTTGCAACAACATGGATGGACCTGGAGGGTATTATGCTAAGTGAAATAAGTCAGACAGAGAAAGACAAATACTATGTTTTCACTTATATGTGAAATATAAGAAAAAACAAATAAACAAATATAACTAAATAGGAACAGACTCAGATATAGAGAACAAGCTAGTGGCTGCCAAAGGGGAGGCAGGTGGTGGGGGGGAATGGGCAGATTAGATGGAGGGGATTCAGAGGTACAAACTATCAGTTATAAAATATAGGTCACAGGGATGTAATGTAGAGCACAGGGAATATGGTCGATAATATTATAATAACTTTTCATGGTGTATAATCTATAAAAATATTGAATCATTATATTGTACACCTGAAACGAATATAATAAGTCAACTCTACTTCAATAAAAAAAGAAAAAGAAGTAACACTGTAACGTAGAAAATGAACAGATTAACTCTGTTTGGGGTGCTTAGGGACGAGCTTCAGTACGTAATGTCTAAATGGCAGATTAAAAGATAAACTAGGGGTTTGTCAGGTAGACAAAGC